TGTTAGTGGGTGCGAATTGGGGTCAAGAGCCGGACAGGTTTTACAGTGTTGTGGCAAGGGCCTCATGTTGGCCTGTGGCCGATTGTTGTTTGCTTTGCTGACCTGCTGTGCATGGATCGGGGCAGTCGTGTGGTAGTTTTGCATCCCACCAACTATGATATAGTGATGAGATAATGCTCCTGTATATGGAATGGCTTTTTACAGTCCCCATGGCAAGCTGGAGACACCAGCAGGCGACCTCTAATCAGTGGGAGGGTCCCGTGGGACCTCCTATTCGCTGCGTTAGGATATCGTGATGAGCCTGTGTTTGCATGCCCTCTCACCGTCACCCAGAAACGACCGCTCTCTTCCGGGCAGGAAGCATGCAAGCGCGTCGGCTTGTTCACACTCATGTTCATGTGAGGAGGCTACTGTTTTCCTCTGAATAGAATGTACAGTCATTGGGCCTGTATTTGGGGCAACTTGCAGTCGTGATGCAGCGGTGCTGATTATACGTTCCTTTCGGGGCAAGAGGGTAGCTCATTTAGGCTGAAGGCCCGCAAACACTCTAGTTTGAGCGGAGGATGTCATTACGTTGAATCGTGCTGGAAACTGGTTTCTTGCTAACCCGTAGACATGACTTCTTGGCCCCCAGAAAAGAAGCTGAATGTGCGGCTGGCCTCAGTTAGTGCTTCGTGTCATTGCCTTCGCAACTGCCTTGTCGTGTGTTTCTAGATTTCCCGTAGACCTGACTTAGTCCCCGTGCTTGCGCACACACTGCGTAGCTCTTGTGAACTGGCACTGCAACGTTGTTGCCTCTACGGATGTTTCCTCTTGCGTGTGTGTGTGTGTAAGACAGAGAGAGAGAGAGAGAGAGAGAGAGTAAATGACTGTCTTCTGAGCAAGAGGTTTAGAAGAGAACCGCACCAGGGGAGCAAGGGTGGGAAAACCGGTACATGACTGTTAGCTCACTTCGTAAGCGGCTTGTAGAAGGTCATGCTTGCGCGGAGCAGAATTCTCCGTGGGAGGAGACATGGGACACGATACACAGAGAGAGAGAGAGAGAGAGTACGACTGTCTTCTGAGCAAGAGGTTTAGAAGAGAACCACACCAGGGACTCGGTACTCTTAGCGATGAGGGTTAGGACCTCAGGAACAGAAATGTGGAAAAGGTCATGTTTGTTTAGCTTAAGCAGTATTCCGGCAAACTATGCCATCTTTGTTTTGCGTTTACTGCTCGGTCGTTTCTTGTGTAAAAGGCTTCCCAAGATGTTGGGTTTTATTTAAGGATGTCTGCATAGATCATGTGCTGTTCTTACGAGTAGCTCTAGTCTTACTTTATGCTCTAGTTGAGGCAATGCATGGACTGGAGTACTGTTGTGGCTAAGTCTGATCAATGCAGCTGCCAGCTGCTGTTCAAGATAAGACCCATGGCACCCAACGGATGGTGGCATGGAGCAGTGCGGGTACGTATGGTGGAGATGTGAAGAGCCATTGTGCCCGGTGAGCGGTTTTATATTGCCGCTCTCCGTTCTGAAATTTGTCTGTTGTGATGAAAGCGCTTGGTCTGCTGGGTCTGACTCGGGAAGACTGCTGGTGTCTTGTTGCCATCCTTTTGCCTGTGTACACTGTGGAGGTTGTTCGTGGCACTACCTCGGTTGGATGCGATGAGTCACATAAATACGCGGTACTACGTGGTATGCCTGCATACACACGTGGTATGCTGACGGACAAGTTCTATCTTTCCTCTGGGCGAGGAAGTCGTTTTCTGGGCCGTTCGGCAATGCACCCATTTTGAAAGGGTGATGTGCTTATTTTCTTACGAGCAGCCTAAATTCAGGCTTTCTCGGCGAGAAGGTCGGCAGCTAGATCGAAGTTCGGGGTTGTTGTAGGGTCATCGTGTTAGCCACTGGAGATAGAGGATGTTAAACGACTTAGCACTTGGCCGCAGGCTTGCTGTCCGAAACTTGTTGCCGCAGGAAAACGTTTTCCTGGCCGAAACATGAAACGCCGGGCCTGCCGTTGATAAATTGGATCGACGGTCGCGTTTTGTTTTTGCGGTTTTCCGGAATTCGAGGTGTCAGGCCGGCGGCCCAGGTGGCCATGTACTGGGTGCTTTATTAAGGCTGACAAGGCTGTGACGAGGGGATTTTTTTTTTTTTTTTTTAATGAGGAGGGGTTTTGCAGACAGACAGATTGTAGTTCATGGGTGTTTATTGTGTGCATGGGTTTTCGAGGCTGAGAAGCGTTAAGGCACAGACAGACATTTTTGCATGCTCGCCTTTCCAACTGCAGGCTGCTCCTGTTGTGATCTCTGGGTGATTCTTTTGCGATCCTTCCCAGGGTGAAATGCAGCTTGTGTTTCCAATGAGGTGGGATTACGTTACAAGCTGTGGCCAGTTTAAGTGTAGGAGGCTTCACTCGTAGGGTGTGGGTCTAACTACAAGGCCGACTCGGTACTACGTTTTTGGTCGATGTAGAGGAGTGTGCTAAATTTGTAGTTGTACGCTCCGCGGCGCAGGGCTCGAGTAGTAATCCGACTTGCACAAGTACAGAGCTGCACTCCGTGACAAAAGAATATTCTGGATTCCGTGTAGAATAACCACTATGCTGACAGCATTCTGTCTTGCTTTCCGCTCGCTGGTTTCTCCTTGATTAGGTTCCGGTGGACACGTTCATTCATATGGCCCTTAAGTGAAGATCTGCTGAAGTAATTTCACCGATGTAATGAAACTCGTTCGAATTGCATAATAACTGGGAAGCAATCGCACATAAAAAAAATCTCTTATGAGTGACGGTAAAAGAAAACACTTAACTCGATGGGGAGGATGATGGAAGAAGTACAAAGGGTTTCATTTAAACCACAAGTAACTTCTGCCAGTTGGGAGAATAGGGGGTGGCCTCAGGTGAGCTGCCGATCTTTTAGGAGGCCCGGACGAAACGATGGCCGCTGATGAGATTTATCAACGGCGGCAGTCGTTTGGCCTTGCCCCCTATTTCTCAGGAGTATGGGAAAACTGCCAGTTTTCCCTATTTTCCCTGACACCGGTGGAGGTACTAGTGCTTCCATGGAGAAGAAAGGCAGGCGAAAGGAAGTCCAAGCAGAAGGAAGTAATGCAACAAGTAATGAATCATAAAGCACTGAGTGAAGTGGAAGAGTTTTTCTCTTGAAGTTGTATTAACGGATTATCATTTTGGAAGGCATTATGGAAAAGCATCAAGCTAACAAGAAAGTGAACCTTGTTGGAGAGTCATATGTCATGAAGTTATATTAAACCACTAGTACCTTCGCCGCTTGGGAAAATAGCGGGCCTCAGGTAGGCGTCCGACCTCTTCAGAGGCCGAAACGAAATGACGGCCGCCGATTGGATTTATCAATGGCAGTCGTCGTCGGGCCCGACCTCCGAAGGTTCAGGAGGGAGGGAAAACTGCTATTTTCCCGCGCGGGAAAGATACTAGTGGATTAATAAATTACATCTTTTTGGAAAAAAAGGAAGTAACGAAGAAGTGGACAAGCAGCTTGGCAATCAAAGAGCTTGAGGTAAAGAATGAACCAATTGCAAAAAAAAGTGTCATGGAAAATCAACATGAACAAATACGCTCAGCTGAAAAGGAAGCTGAATGGGAAAGGATGCTAATTTAAGAAACAAGTTATCTGTGAGTCAAAGAAAAAAAAAGAAAAAAAAAAGCTGCGTGGGTCACAATGAGTCGTTAAGGATTCTACAGGACGGTTGGCCGTACAAGTGAAAGCTGTGGGTGGTTCGGGGCGCACATGATTGATTGCAGGACCAACTGGGTGAGTGCAAGGTTAACAATTCATGCGTTTGAAATTTGAGTACCACTATAAAACGGAAAAGGAATGGGATTTGATCCCTCCCGCATGTTCTTTGAAAAAAGCAGAAGGGAAAAAAAAAAGAAGCAGAAGAAGAGATGGTTGGAATTGAAAGGTGTTTAAAGGAAGACATGATTCATTGTTTGGGCCACCTGCCCGTGTGTACAAGGTAAACAATGGATGTGTTTGAATACTGTAAATTTGTTTAAAACGAAAAAGGAATTTAATTAATCACTTACATCCAGAAGAAGTTGGTTGGAATTCGAAGATGTTTGACGAAAAACTGGAGGTAACATGCAGAAGAAGGTGAAGTGGAAGCCTTGAAAAGGAAGAAGAGAAAATGGCAAGGGAACGCTGCGACAACGCGTTATATGCAGAATTGTGCAAAGGGAGGGGAAGGTATAATAACCACCCGTCATGTCAGATGAACATCAATCTCTGTGTGTTTCACAATTACTAGTGTTAGTTGGACCTAAGAACTGGAAGATAGATGCGGATGTCTGTGGTTGCCTGACATGCACGGACGAGCGCCTGACCATCGGCATCGTGTGGCTCATTCGGACAGGAGATTGAAGAGATGAAAAAGTTGTGACGAAGGCTGTCGTGTAAGGGTTTTGTCTAGTTCTTTTCTTTTTGCTATAGTACAAGAACAGTGACATGCTGCAATGTTACTCGCAATGTGAAGGAACTAATAATGAAAGTGAGCGAATGTTCTGGATGAAATGTGATATTTGTGCATTTGAATGATTGATGAGCACAATCGAAGAGGCAGATGATTGAAGTGCGACAGTGGAAAAGTTGTGATTGCAATGAATAACACTAGCATGTATGCCTCGAGCGACTGGATTTTCCAAACCAAAGAAATAAAGTTTTTAAGGCAAAAAAAAATTAAAACCTTGTACTGGTGATTATCTGATTTGAAGATTACATGAAAAAAAGAATACAGCCATCGAGTGTGTGTGTGTGTGTGTGTGTGTTGGGTGGGGCGGTGGGTGGAAAACAGCTGGAGGGATGGTGATAAAGAAGCTGTTCATGAGACACTTTAAGGAGGGAGGGAAACTACTTGAGAACACAGGTAACTTGCTGAAGACAGGGAAAGGGGCGGAGGCGTGGGGGACGGGGGGGTCCAGCAGCTGGAGGGATGGAAGGGGGGGGGGGCGGCGGGGGGGTCCATCATTTGGAGGGATGGAAGGGGGTGCAGCGGCTGGGGGGAGGGAAGGGGGTCCAGCAGCTGGAGGGATGGAAGGGGTGGGGGGCGGGGGGGTCCAGCAGCTGGAGGGATGGAAGAAAAAGCTGCTGTTAGTAAAGAGTGTGAGGAATGAAAGCACTTGGAAGCACAGGTAACTTGTTGAAGATTGTGAAAGAACACTTGATATCATTGAGCAGGTGAAGAAGTGGAATAGGAGAGAGCGAAGAATGAAGTCAAAGAACAGTATTACAAGCCCATTTAGTGGTCGCAGAGACGAACTGGATGCCGTGCTGTTTGGCATAGATGTGCATGCGTAGGTGGGGAAGATCTTATGAGGGAAGTAGAGATAACAGAAGGGGGACGTTGAAAAGTAAAGATGGGTTTAACTGGGTGTGAGTTATAAGAACTTAACCTTGACGAGGAAGTAATCTACGGGTCTTCGACGTATGAACTTTCTGATTCTCTCTCTCTCTTTCTCTCTTCATCATGGCTCATTACTCGTCTTTTTGGACGTGACATGAGCTCTGCTGTAAGTGTCGTCCCTCACGATTTCATCTGGGCCTTTTTGGATTTATTTTATTGGTTGCAGTGCAAGGGCTCTCAGAGGATAGCATGGTAATGCGCCGCCTGCTGTGATTGGTATGTGACATCAAGATATCTGAAGCTTCTCTCCGGAAAAAGCCTAAGAATGCACACATTGCGTGGATGCTGATGTACCTTGGAAGATATCTGACTTTTTCCATTGTGCGACTACTATACTATCGATCCGGCATCAATGAACAACCAATCAACAAATATGGAGCAACTGAGAAGGAAGCCGTTCGCAAGACATCAACGTGATGCAGTGAGAAAACAAAAAAAAAAAAAAACAGAAAGTGTATGCTAGGTTTAGGTACTCTCTAATCAGATCAGCATTTATTTTGTGGACAGGTTCGGTTTCACTGTACTTAAGTCTTAAAACACACTGACAGCTACGCAAAGAATTTTGCAATTTGTTGCGAGGATCAAGTAATACCGGATAGTGCTGCTATTTCATGAGGGCATTCTGCGAGGTCCTCTGCCCCCCCACCCCTCCTACCACTTGCACACCCCTTCCTCACACTCCCAGCTCAACCCTTGTACTCGTTTCACGTGCCCGCGAGTAAGTGACAACCCTCTTAGGTAGGCTTCGTATCAGCTATCCTGAATCCATGCTGTGCAGCGTGGAGTGGATGGTGTATCTGAAAAGTCCAAATTTGAGATGCCTCACATCTCCTGTTCTCGATGACCGTTTCCCTGGAAGGAGGGCATTGACAGTGAACCTTACTGACTGTGGAGAGTCGAACCGGCCATTGTTTGTGCCAGAGCAACTAACTGCTGTTTTGTTCTGCGCATCTGGTCTTGTGCGATTTTTCATTGTAGTCATCCAGCCTCTGATTCAACGACATTGTGGGGTGCTTCCAAGCTGTTCACTCCTGGTAGGGGCCTTATTCTTCCTAGCTCTCTCTGACCTCCTGAGGTGGGCACATGATGAGGGTGCTGATGGTGTGCTTGTTTTCTGCTATCTTGTATGTGGGTCGCGAAGATGGTCCCACGTAACAACATATGCCTAGTGAGTGCATGTGTTTCATAGATGGATCGCACCCACTCCCGGAACGACATTTGTTGAAAAGCAGCGGAACTACTGGGCCATTGAGGTGCCGTCTTCCAGTTCGGCCTTTAGTCATAAGCAGTGGAAGGAGACGAGTGTGCTTTTCCGATTGCCTATAGTGTGACAGGGCAAGCTTCTTTTGCTCATCGCTCGGTGTCCGCACATGCATGCATGGTCGCCACTCTTTTGTAGGCAATGTTTTACAGGGGCTCGTCTGCTAGCTGTGCGCCCGTTCTCACCGTCAACTTCGTCGGAGGACCAGATTGCTTGCCACCCATTACTTCAAAAAGTATGTGGGCATGTGCCAGGATGAGACATTGCTGTCCTTTCTAAGCGAGTGCAATCTCGAGAATGTACTGCTTGCTTTGTTAATCCGCGTTTCAGTATGATCCTTTAATCTGCATTTCTGTATCGTCCTCTTTGGAGGCCAGGCCAGTGTGTTTGGATTGTTAGAATGCATATGATGACAGGACACTCCGGAGTTTCTACAGGTTGGCTAGCTGTACAGACGGTCTTTTGTATGCTAGGGGGCACTGCAACTGCTGCTGCTGCTGAGGTTGTGGAGGGGTGGCGTGGTTCTCTTCCCTTTTGACATCGGTTCTTCTTCGGGCCGATTTTTTCAACACTCTCGTGATATATTTACTACTTGAGTGAAGTCTGCAAAACTTGTTCACGAGGTTGTTCAAGCCCACTGTTTCCCTGTTCTTTGGCTTCCATCTATCATCTTCGCGGACTCCCTCCTCCTCATCCCCCCGCCGTCCTTTGCCTGCGAGCACATTCTGTTCCCAAATGTCATAGTCCTTATCCCCATAGCTTCGAGACAGAATTGTGGCGCTGGTAGTCAGTTTTTTTCTTCTTCGGGGGAATACGGTCCTTACTTTGCCGGAAGCGTTGTGCCCAGAGGTTGAGGAGTGGTGTGGGATGGTCGTGACATTTGTGGCGTTGAGGGCGTCCTTTTGATGATCGTTGCGAGCTTGTGAGCGAGCGAATCTCTCTCCCGTCTTACCTGCCATGCCTCGTTGTGTCATGATGGTGGGCCTTATGTGTGCGATGCTTTTGGAAGTTATTTTCTTCAGAGGTGTGGTAGTGAGGATGGTTGTGACGTGGTTGTCATTAGAGTTTTCCGTTTCGGTTCGATCTTATGAGGATATCTGGTAGGGATCAGAGTGCGTCTCCTGGTGTCTGTGTTTGGCGGGATGCTCCAGCAACCTGTCATCTGGTCACCATGCGCCGTGGAATGTGGAAGAGTCACTTCGATCTCCGTGCAAGTGTTTGGATGATTAGTCCTGGGCTCTGGAGCCTCTCGAGGTAAATGGGATGTGGGAAATCATGTGTGGCGAATGTCAACGGATGGATTGTGCTGCAGTAGACTTTTTCCCTAGGAAAGCTCGAATGAAGTGAACCGACTGTTTCAGGAGGGGTTGTTGAAAGTGAAGTGTCAGGCATGTAGGCTTTTTCCCTTCCTATTCGAAATGGTGAGTGTTTTTGTAGGTGACCGTGCTGGAGTTGAAGCGCACCTTTGAGGGCCTGGTGTTATCTGGTTTTGGTACCGCAGGACGCTGTGTGTAATCATGTTCAAGTCAGGTACGTCCTGTTCGAACCCCTCCCTTCGCACGGAAGGATCATTATTACCACGGAAGGATCATTATTACCACAGAACCCCTCCCTCAGGTACGTCCTGTTCGTGCCAGTTGCGTTCAATAGCGGTTGTGTAACTGGCTTTGAGAAAACGGGGTTACTTGGCCGCTTGATCTTGGGGGAGCAAAGCTTTCTGAGCTGTGCTGATGAATTAGCTGTTGAGTTGGGGGGCCTTGCCTGGGAGTGTGTCTCAGTTCTTTTGGGTGGTGTGGAGTGAAAGCTTTAATACCGCAATCGATGGGCTGATGCCTCTGATGGTAATACCGACAACGGCGTGCTCGACAGCAGCGATGTCTACAACAGCTAAGGGGTCTGAGGAGGAAAGGTTGTAGTAGTTTGAAACAGCAGTGTGGTTGGAGCCAAGGCCTGTCTTATTCTCTGAAAGTCTGGTGAAGAATCGACAGATGTCTTTGGTTACGGTCTTTTTCTCTGTACGGTATGTGTTCGGTGCTGTTTGCTGCTGTGTCCTTAGTGAGAATCTGTTAAAGTGTTATGGTGGAGCATCTCTCCCAGGGGGCGGTTGATCAGAAAATGTGCTCTTAGAACAATCTCTCACTTTTCTTTTCTCTCTCTTTTATAAACTCTCAAGTTATCATCATAATCGGCCTGGGACGCATTTGCCTTCTGTGCTACTATGTACAAAGTGTGTGTGGCTCCAATTCGGTGGAATGCTGGAAAGCAACAATGGGGGCATAGTGCAGTTGGTACACCCATGATCCGGCGGAGTGCAGACCTGGGCGCGAATCCCAATCAACTTGAACTCAGACAAGTAAATTATCTCTGAATTCACCTGGCACCAGCCAGTGTAATCATGATATCGCAAGGCTGTCGCCCTTTTTTTTTTTGTTTGGGTCTGCCTGTGTTTTTTTTTTTTTTTTTTTTTTCAGTTTGAGTTAATTCTCTGATTGAAGGATTGACGTGTTCTTCTCTGCCGATGGTGTAGCTAACAGGAGTGTGCTTGACCACGGGCTTCTCCAGCTCTTCACTGGTTGAGTAAGCTGCCTGCCTGGGCAGGTATTGAATCGGTTTGGTCAGTAGTGCGGTGTGATTCCCAAAAGGTTGAATCGCCAGAGTCTTGAGGATGCATGACTATGCGATGCGGTTCCCATTTTCACTGCTGCTCCCCTGTTAAGTGTTCCCTTATTTCCTACTGTCTTCACCTGAATCTAACGTCCGGTGATTATAAGCTGTATTTGGGGCATTATAAGCTGTATTTGGGGCATTTTTCAGCCCAGTTGGGGCGATAATGACAGGGCGTTCTATTTGGGCGAAGACGGTAGGCTCTTGACAATCAATAGCTAAATCTCCTTGATGGTCTGTTACAAATACTGGGCTGACAGTAGTTTTGAGTTTTTGTTGAAATTCAAATCCTCATCGGGTAAATGTGAATACACGCGGATGGACAACGTATTCACCCGTTCTGCAGCCTTCAACAACAAACAAGTTCACACTCCGATGAAATTTGCGCCCCGGCTGTCTTTTCCTGACCCTGTACCCGCCCGCCCTCTTCTTTTATGAGAACCTTGCAGGCCACGCTGATGAAATTTGCACCCCTGCTGCCTTTTCTTGGCCCTGTACCTGCCTGCCCCGTCCTTTCCCCATTCCGTTTATGAAAACTTTGCAGGGCATTTTCCTGCTGACTCTGTGATTTCGGTTGTGTGTGTGCCTCCAGTTTACCAGGCCTTCAGCTTATTGGCCAGTTCTGTGTGAATGTATATAAATATATAGTATGTATATCAGGGCTGAACTTCCGGTCCCACTGGGGCCCCCTTCCCCCACTGGAACCGGTCCGGTAGTACCGACCAGTGGACCGTGCCGGTCCCCCCCCGGTGGCATCTCGCGCAAGTGGATCGTGGGGGGGGGTTAAAAATTTTTCGGGGCCTGGAGGCCTCCATGCGGGTCGTGGAGGCCTCCCGCCCCCGAAAAAATTAAAACCGGGCCCTGTAGGCCTGCCAGAAAGCAGCAAAACTGGAGGCCTATCTGGGCCGTCGATCTTGTGAGAACTGCGGCCCAGATAGGCCGCAGTTTTTGAACATTCGGGCAGGAAACCGCCCGAAGTTTGACTTGCCGAACTGACACCAGCGATCGGCCCCGCCACCCCGTCTCCAGCCTCCAGCCAGCCTCCAGCCTCCAACCCGTCACTTAGACACTTCATCGAAAGTGAACGAGGTTGCGACTGCGTTGCACCCCTCCCATGTCCACCCCAGCCTCGCATCGCCATCGCCCCGCCCCGTCGTCCACCGTTGAAGGTAAGTAACCCAAACTTTCTTCTTCTTCTTCTTCTTCTTCTTCTTGTTCTTCTTCTTCTTAGTATCTTCTTCTCCTTCTTCCATTTCCTCTTCTTCTTCTTCTTCTTCTTCGTGGCAGAGCCGAAGTTTCCCAATAAAATGTGCGTGCTGGGGTAACCAGCGGGCGCGTATAAATCAGAGAGAGAGAGAGAGAGAGAGAGAGAGAGAGAGGGTGCGCGAGAAGGGCAGCGGCCAGTGTTGGCAGGAGGACAGGTATGCTGCAACCACCCCACTAACACCCCCAGAACACAGACCCCCCCCACACCCCTCCACCGCCCCCAACCCGTGAAAAAAAATCCGCACATTCATGTTTTCTCTGCGGATTCTCGACAAGCGCAGTCCAACCCCATCACTAAAAAAAAAATAAAAAAAATTGGACCCGATTTTCGGCCAGTCCGGAATTCCGGTCTGGGCCAGTCCAACCAACCGGCCCGGCTCGGATTGGTCCGTTCCAACCGGCCGGTGGCCGGTGCAGCCCTGATGTATACGATGTGATGTATTGACAAACAGAGGTGCCAGCTGCACCATGGGTGGAAAGGGAGAAGGGGACAAAAATAAGTGCCCGCTGTGTCATGGGCGGAGAGGGAGAAGAGGACAAAAATGATGGGCTGTAACAGATTCTCTCCGCAGAGCCTCACCAACTTGCGAGGAGGGCGGACCCTGTACAATCTGCAGAGTCTCCCTAACCGATGATATTGTAAGTGATAACCCATCTCATCCCCGGTGGCGGTTAGGCATCGATTATTGCCCGACAACTGATACTCTTGAGGTGGACACCAACGACTTCCCTCAAGGTACCTGTGATGAAAATCAAAGCAGAATGGAAAACTCTACGGACTGCAGGTTCGCACCCCATCACAAGCCAGCAAACACACCCATGAAACAAAGGTAGGTCTGTCACAGCCCTCCAGGTACGCTGCTGCTGGCACCAGAGGCAACATTGTGGCCGCGTATCGACTGACGGTCTCGAGCGCTGACTCTCAACGTGACCGGATTAAACCAGAAGTTACTGGGCAGGGTGCTATCGAAGTCGTGGTATATACAGTCGAACGGAACTGCCGAGTACACCCGAGGAAGAGAGGGAGAAGAGGAGAACAAATGATGGTATGTGACCGATGGCTGATGACCGGTTTTAGTTACTACACCAGAAGGAAGAGCTTTTAGGCAGCGGCAATTGAAGCCGACAGCGTCTCCTGATGATCGACCTGCTAACCAGCAGCAACTTGCAGGAACCTGAAGATTATGGAGACCACCATGGTTATGCTTGCTAGTTTCTGCCGGTTGGTTGCGTGCGAACGGGCGAGACACAGCACGGTAGTCTTGGTATGGACTCTGTGGTGTCTGAAAAAATGAGGCCGCACGTGTGACTGGAGGGAAAAATCATGGAGACGTCAATGTTGAAACTGAGCTGCTGACAGCCACTTTTTGTAGGAGCTAGATGTAGTTTCGGTGCGGCATGTGCAAGTTTTTAAAATCTTACCGTGCTCCCTTTTTGTAATAGCTTGTGCTACTCGCCTCTTGGGAGAATCACAACTCACCTGATTCATATGAATCATGTAATTTCCCCCCTATAATTCTCCCCCCCCCTCGCTCTTACCCGCACCCTTGCTTCCTGTTTCCTGTTGTGTGACAGTTTCTGGCTAACTCTCTGAATTCAGTTATGAGTACAAAGGATGGTCTTTCCTCCTCGAAGGTGTGTGTATGTGTAGTTCGAGTCCGGGTACATTGTCATCCGACAGGGGTTGTACACAGATGATGACAGTAGTGCAGTTGTATGTTGGGCCCTTGGCAGTGTTGCCACATGTTGGAACTCCTTTCGGTGGGTACGGTTGTTGAGATCATGGGACTACATCAAGTCCAGGTTCATGCTGCAGCGGTTTGCTGGGGTCCGACTTCAAGTCCAGGTTCAATGCTGCGGCGGTTTGCACGTTGACCCCAGCGATCGTGTGCACTGTCTAGGATGTCATAACATTCAACCATCCCCTCACCTTCCCACCGAACGTCTTTTCCCCGCACCCCAGAAGGCACCACCTCTCACATGGGGAAGGGATATAAGAAGTAGTCATTTCTGACAACCTCGTTGCGAGCCTTTGAAATATATATATATTTTTTGTGAGAAGGAACTGGCTCTTTGGTAATGACCGCACTAGATGTGTTTTCTGTTTGTTGTGATCAGTTTCTTGGAGAGTTCAGCACCAAATTTACACCCTTGACTGTTTTGAGAAGTTCTGACATGAACTTCCGATTTCCGGAAATTGCCCAAGTTAGCACTTTCAAAATTCTCCGCACTGTGGCCTCGCGGCAGCCCGAGACAATCGCCGTGGCGTCCATTTTTCATGCGGCTTGCAACTTTGCAACACGTTTTTTATAGTGAGCAGAATGGCACGGTCTTTGTTTCTGATAACAATGGTTCTTCAGAACAAATGCCTGCGGGTGGAGACAAACGGTTCTCCAGTAAGAGGCGTGGATCGCATGTCGCACTAATGCTGCTGGCAGGCAACAACCATCCCGGTAAGGAAGAAGAAGAGGCTTGGAACAACTGGTGGTCGTACGCGGGTGTTTCCGATAGACAAGAGCCTATTCCACAGGGGGGCTCCCATATTGGGGAAGCTTTCGGTGGTGCATGTGTCTCGGAGCGGTTTAGTGTATTGCGGTGCGTAGGCTGCATAGATGTCCTTAGAGAAAGGCGAAAGCAGGTGGCGGCATGTACATGGGGAGTTGTCCGCTACCAGAAAGTACAGTTCGAAATGGGTAACCTTTTCTTCAAGGTCTGGTGTGGCAGTGGCCGAGCTCGGCCATCTAAGCTAGATTTTCGAAATACGCATCACGTACATCAAACACGTTGCGTACTGCAAAGTTGCAAACCACTAGTGATTTTCCCAGCCACGTTGTCTGGATGCAGGCGTAAACGCGCATGACGCCCATGAGGGCTATAGAATTACTGGACTGGAAAGGCTTGGTGGCGCCAGACAAAACATCGCAAGAAACTGCATCTGTCTGGGTTTGATTTTAGTTGCCTGCCGCAAAGTGGCGCGCTGAGGTAGCGGGGGCTTTAACCACCAGAATTTCGGTGGCACTTTTCTCCGGGTGGGAAGAGAGCCCTGCGTGCCAAAACAACAAACGAATGGGTAGGGGGCGTGCTTTCTGCTCATGCCGAGCCCCGGAAGTTGCGGCAGGATGCAAGCTGAGACTTTGAAAAACTGGTTGCCAAGTGTATCGTAGAGCATCTCTTTCCGTCAGGTCTGTGGAGCATGAACCTTCTTGTTGTCCTGCCCTTGATGGAGGTCACTGTCCTTTTTCTTGTCTATACTCTTACTGAAGTGTAAGCCGGGTCTGGCGTAATAGTCCCGCCAGACCAGGCTTCCAGTCTTGGGAAAAGGCTAGGGACAGGGGGCGCGTGCCCAGCAAAATCTGCTACATGCGAGGCGTGTTTTTTCCGGCGTGCGTTGTCGTGGAAAGGGTTTTGCAGAGTTTTATTCCGGCCTCCAACACAGCCGTTC